TATAATAATTTAATGTTATCCATTGTGATTGTAAAAAGTTTTGGTAATAATTTTAAAATATGAGTAATACATGTATCATTAACATAACATATGTAAATAATGATATGATACCATATGAATGTATAAATTTCATTTAAGAAATTCCATAATCATTAGAATAATTGCATATTGCAGCTGCTAAAAACACAGCTTATTAGGGCACTTACTCACCTTGTTGATGATGAGATGTTCGATTAAATGGAATGATTCCATACAAGAAAATCATTCCTTATATATGTTTTAAACATGAACTCTCAGTCAATGATGATCATTAATGAATAATTAATCAGTGACATTGCAATGTTCTTTTTTGCGTTAATTGAAAAATTGATCATCAAAAAACGAACAGAAAATATAATTGATTCTCATCAGCTCAATAATTGATGAGATTATCATTTTTATCATTTTCGTCAACGATCAATTTATCACTATTCTACAATGTCTTCATTGATATTCATGTTTACGTGTCTTTTCTTTTTTCATTAAGAGAGCTTCCATGGAATTATTAAGTACCATGTCAGCAGTCGGGGCACCAACCAAAATTTAATCTTTTGATTTGATATTCTCATCTTGATCAGTATCATCTAAAACCTCTAAATCCAAATTTTTATTGCATTCGATTGAACTAGTGGAAAGTTAGTTCGATTCGACTGTTGAGCACTAACGCAAAAATTTGAAAAATGTCATAAAAAATTGTCTATGTAAAGGTGAGCTTATTAAGATGACAAATTATTAATAAAATTTTTCGTGTAATATATTAAAAGATAGAACATCGAAAGCTGAACAAAATCAGCTGTTTACATATTATATTTCAATGTGATAATATTAATTTATACGTCAAATACTATCTATGGCTGCAAATTTTTTGCGTTAAAAATGTACAAAATCTTATAGTATATCAGCTACCACTTAGTCATTTTAAATGACCCCAGACTGATTTTCTTGTATTTTGTGTACCTTTTTTTCCTCTACAAAATAGTTTTAAAAAAGTGGAAAAAAAAGTTACTCTTAAGGTGAAAAATGGCTTACAATGGTCACCATTGAATCAATATGTATAGAGAAAAAATAATGTATACGATTTTTTTTCAAAAAAAATCAGTTTTATTAGATCATGGTCTTTAATGTATACTTTAGACACGAGGAAGACATTTTTAATGAATGTGCGTTTCCTAGACTGCCACCCGTTCTATAGTAAGATACAGAAATAATTTACAAATCCATTAATATTGATACACTCTTTTATGGTAGATAGTGTTTTCAGAACAATTGTCTACATACTTCTTAAAAAAAGCAGGATTGCTGGCCATGACTAAGGAAAACTTTTTCCGCGTTTATTTTCATCGGCGCGTAAAGTCCACCCTGCTTGAAGAGGAAGGGCATACTCGGAAAACACGTTTCCTTAAATTATTTGTGATTGTTAGTCGAAAAACCCGCACTCGTGTAAAAAGTTATATCTCATTAGTAGGCATTGTTAGGAAAGGGTGTGGATGTGAGTTTTTATTGACGATACAGTCCTAACATGCCGTTTTTCATTCTTTCAAACGTATCCAACTATTCATTTTGCAAACTGTAATATTTACCTAATTTCATTGTTTAATATATCGTTAGCAAAAGCATCACAAACTGCAGCGAATATTCTATTTGAATAGATATTTCATGCTGGAAAATTATTTTCGTCGTCTTCTATGCATTTCTCCATTACAGATAGATTTTGTTATACTGTTTTGTTCATACATGGAAGAAAGTAGAAATTGTTTTAACAGCACCGATTCGTAGGAAATCTTTTTCTGTAGGAAACTCTTAAATTTGAAATCATATCACTTAAGTATATATATATATACTATTGTTACGCTATGAATATCATGAATAGGAGGTTTGCGAGAGTCCTAACAACAAACTAAATGCTGATCTCACTAATCGATATATCTTTGTTTGACGAGATACATATTCATTCTGTTGGTTGGACTGCAATAAGCTTGTTTTTCTACTCCTGTCATCTATAGTATAACAAAGGTAAAAAACTTCAGAAATATAATCGGTTTCGATTTCAAATATAAGAATTTCGCACAAAAAAGGATTCCCTACAAATCCATTACCTTTTTCGAATGCGTAAATAAGCCAGTATAAGATCGTCTATCTGCGTATTTTCTGACTTTCCGTTCTCGAGATCATCACAGTAGAAAATTATAACTTTCGATACGTATGTCTAGTAAGTAAAAACAAAAAAAAAAGGAAAAATTCAGAAAAGACTACATAAATGCTGTACAAACCGATATTAATTTTCGGGAATGAAATTTCAATTAACATAAGAACAAATAACGATTTCATCTAGAGTCAATCCTGTCCGGTCGAAAGTTTCCATTATTTCTTCTGTTCACAACAGTTGACTGGAGACTAACTCACCACTTTTAATTATTTTGAGTAAAAGATGGAGGCCAAATCATCAAAATCACTGTTTTGCGAAATTTACTGAAGATGAGCGGAAACTCATATTGAAGATTCAGAAAATTTTGTATCATCTCAAGACATGGATCTTTCTGACCTAGTTCGAACGAATTTCTAACAATTCGCCGCTCTCTAAAATATCGCAACACAAAGTACAGATTTTGTTACAGCAAAGAACACGCAAAGTATGAAGGCCGAATGTGTACGCGACCGACTACATTAATGCTATGCTTTGCACCCCATTAATTAAGTCTGTTAACAAATGTTATATTATTATAACGGCATAGATTCTAATTCAAACGAATATACGCATGTCGAATATGATTAGTAAAAAAGTTTTAATTTTAAGTCAATCAAGCATAAGCACATGCTTGACTAGTTTGCAAACTTTGTATCAGAGCTATGGACATCACGAGCATCGAGTGACATTTCCAATCTTGAAAAATTTTCTTTTTTTTCCAGAATTTCATTGTTTTTGTTGGTCAACAATTCCTAGAACAACGTGTATCTCTCCTCTCACAAATTCAGTTAACTTTAGCAACAATATTCTGATCAATTTCCTGACGGCCTCGAAACACTTTTGATCAGAACCTGTGCTTCACAACATTGTTGATATATGCTTTTTTTTCTCATAAATCGAGACAGACGCCTAAATCCTAACATCGATAAGAAGAGTGATTTTCATAGAGTACACTTGACAAGAAAGCGTCTGTAACTATTACTATTTTTGATTTCTATGCAATTATCAAACTGACAGAGCAAACTAATCTTTAATTTATACTATGTTGTTTTCTTTTTTATTAATATGTATCAAGTTATAAATAAATTCTTCGTTCAACTAACTACGTTTGATCCTTATCTCGATAATCATTTTCTCACTTCTTGCAAAAAAAATTATAACAACGACAAAATCGATTCATTTTCTATCATTGTATAGTTCAAATATATTCAGGATTATTGACTACTTGTAAACAAAATATAATTGATAATATTATAAGTTTTCTTTTGTTTCTAGATGTCAATGAGTCTAGTTTTATAATATTCATCAAAACGGAAATAAAAAGAACGCTATCTATAGTTTGCTTGTTTTTTTTCATTTACTCTATTGATTATTGTCAATTCTGAGTTTTTCCGTTCTTCTTCTTCTTCTTCTTCTTCTTTGATGACGAAGTACTTCAAGCAATAAGAGGAAAAAAAAACAAAAATAACTATTACAGCCGATCCATGTGTTAATCTTATCGTTTGTGTCACAAACAAAATAATTCTATTATTGATCGACATTAAATATAATCAAAAAAGTATTATATTGACAGTTGTTTTATCGATCATTATTTACAAATAAATGGAATTCAAAATTATATTAAAGAAAAAATATATATATATATGTATCAAGTCGATGTTCGAAATTACATATATGATTAATAAATATAATATAAAAATAAGTTACATGTAACATTTGGGAATTTTTCCTATTAGTTAGAACCATTGAGTATAATGTATATGAAACTAATAGAAGTATAACAAATATTGACTCGTATATATAAGAATGCATCACTCGATTTATCCTCCAATCAGATATAGATAAAATCTACACTTAGAATATCAATCATTATGTTAGGAATGATTGCATTTGCTGCCATTCTTCAATATTAAAAACTAACGAACTTCTGTCAATTTATATAAATTTTATGTTGATACGTGAGAAATCTTATCACATATATGTTATCGATTTGCGTGCAGGCGACAACAACAACAACCACGACAATCAAAAAAGAAGACCTGGATCAATTTTCAAGAAAAAGTTTTTATATATTTCATATAAATAGAAAGAAGAAAAGAAAATGAAAACCTATCAATATGAAATGAGCAGGATAAAGTAACATAAACACACATAATCAATGTAGAAGGAAAAAAAACAAAATGAAACTGATACTAAGATATTATGTTTTCAAACCTTCGCATAAACTGATTCTACATGTTATCTCAGTTAATAATTAAGTATTTCTCTATTTTTTATTCTCACATTAAACAATGATTACTATTATATTCAATAAAATTTTTCTAGAAAATAATTTAATTTTTCACTATGCAATCAGGTCAATGTTGCATCATAGAAAACGACTTTTTTGTATTTAGACAAAATGAAAAAAAAAATGTATTGCTAGATAATTTTTATCCAAATACAAAATCTTCATTTAGAATCGTCAACTAGTGACATCTCTTAATATAAACATATATATATATTAATTTATTTTAAATAAAAAATTCAATCTTTTTTATTTAATTTCAATAATAACTCAATATATGACTTAATAAAATAATAATTACGAAGGATCTAAACATATTTCTATAAATTAAACTAAAATGGCTGCCATATTTCTCATTGCTTCTATTATTATTGTTTATTTTCTTTTCTGTATATTGTCAACAGCAGCAATAGCAACAGCAGATAGTCATGTTCTTATTCATCATTCAAGATTAATCACAAGAAATAAAAAACTAAAAATCTTGAAACAATGGTTATTTTTAATGGAAAAATGCGTTTAAAAGTTATTGAAGCCGATAATATACGTGCAACAGAACATTCAACACGTTATTTTCCTCAAAATCCTTCATTAGCTTTTGTGAGTCCATATGTATCAATTGTTATTGATGATTTACCATTAGGACGTACACATACAAAAGAAAAAACAACATCACCAACATATAATGAAGAATTTTCAAGTGATGTTCATAATGGTCATCAATTACATTTTACAATATTTCATGATGCTGCATTACCACCTGATGAATTTGTTGCTGATTGTACAATAAAATTTGAAAATATTCATGATAAAAAAAGTGACATATGGATTGATCTTGAACCATCAGGACGAATTCATGTTGGTATTGAATTACAAGGACAATTTAGTGATTGTAAGTTTGACCAAAGAAAAATCTTTTCAAATTTTTGAGATATAAATTTTTGATGTTGTTGTTTAGCTGTGAGTAATGAACGACATTTTAAACAAAATAAACGAGCTTTTGCTCAACGTCGTTTTGCTGTTGTTCGTCGTGTTTATGAAATAAATGGACATAAATTTATGGCAACTTTTTTTCGACAACCAACATTTTGCTCAATTTGTTCAGAATTTATTTGGTAAGATTTTCTTTCAGTTTTTATTTGTGGTTTTTTTTTTTCGTTAAATTTTTTCGAGCTAAGAGATATAAGTAGCAAAATCTCCTCATTTTTCCAGGGGTATATTTCGTACACAAGGTTATCAATGTCAAGGTAGGATATGTGTTCATATTGCTTCCCAAATACTTTTGTTTTTTTTTTATTGATTCCTTTTTATGTTTTGCTTTTGTTTGTTGTGTTTGAAGAAATCTTTCATAGAAATATTATAAATCTATTTTATTTTTTAGTGTGTACATGTGTGATACATAAACGTTGTAAGGCATCGGTTGTTACAACATGTCCAGGAATTCGAACTTGTTTTGAAGTAAGAAGAAAAAAAAATTGAATGAAATAAAAAAAAAATTTTCTTTTGTGTATTTAGTTTCGTGAAAAAAGATTTAAAATAAATGTCCCACATCGATTTGTTGCACATACATATCGATTATTTACTTTTTGTGATCATTGTGGATCACTTTTATGGGGAGCATGGAATCAAGGAATGCAATGTAGAGGTAAAACATGAGATATTTTGTTTTGAAAAGAAACTTAAAGTTTTATTACTGATAAAAACTTTATATAAAAAAAGAAAAGAAAATAGAGATATGTAATAGATAAATGATGAAAAAGTAACAAAAATTAACGAGAACATCTGTTCGAACAGAAAAGAAACACTAACATCTGGCAAATGATATACAAGTGAGAGAATGTAATAAGCTGACGTACACTTCCATAACTGTAACAATTGATCAATAAATATCAAGTTTGACTGTTAAAATTAAAAACAAAATCTTTTAAAAAAAAAATCTTAAATCTTATAAGTATTTCAATATCAATCGTACAATAAATGATAATATTCGATGATTTTTAAAGAATTTATTGAGACAAAATCTTAGTTTATTGTTTCGAAGATACTGTAGTTTTTAAATGAATACTGTAGTCGACGAGGAAAAATTTCGACTTGAAACTTTATACAGAGATAGACTTTAATGAGAATAATTTATTGTGCAAGTTCCAAGTCTTTTGATTTGTTTCTATCTTAAAATAAGACAGGATATGAAACTTTTGTAATAAGCCATTCTCGTTAAGAACTGTCTGTATATGCAAAATTTCAAGTCGAAAATCACTTTTTCTAAGGGACATCATGACATTCATACAAAAACTACTCAATGTTGACAGCAATAAGCTAAGAGCACGAACTCTTTTCATATATCGAACCGAATCAAGCTTGAAAACTTTGAATTTTGCTTCAGATTCGATTTGTTTTTTGAAAAAATACTTGTAAATTTGTAGAATTTGGTATAACAATATATCAAAATATTAAATTAAAATTATATAAAATATATTCTTTTATTTCTTTTAATTTTAAAAATAGAATGTAAATTAAATGTACACAAACGTTGTACACGAAATGTTGCCAATGATTGTGGATTGGATAAGAAAAAACTTGCTACTGTTCTTGCTGATCTTAATATAAGTACTGAACCACAAAAAATGGTAAATCTAATAAAATATTAATATGAACAAAAAAAAAATATGTTTGCTTTTTTTTTTTGCTTTTTATTTAGATAAATCCACCAAGTGAAGCCGATTGTAAGAATATTAATCTGACTTTTTTTTTCCTAAGAAATTAAGATGCCAGCAAAATTCTTTTGTCATAGTTGGATAGAGGTCGTTGAATTACTACATCAAAAGTATCAAATCTTAATATTTATTCGAAGTATTTTTCTTTAATTATTAAGAAAATTGATTTCTTTCAATATAGTAGGCAAAACGGCATAAATATGGGTTAGCTTTCCCGAGGTTTGGAGTTATTCTACCATGTGTTATTAGTGGCGGCGCCACAGAAGAATTCAGCCTTCTGAGCAAAAATCCCAACGCCACCACTACGTGCTATATGTCTGTATTGCTAAGACTTAGTGTTCGCCCTTCCGGAGTTTTAAATTGCCCTTCTGGAAGATTAAATACTGACTTCAGTTCCAAACGAAATGCATATCATACTCGAAATCTGCAGCCAAAACAACCATTGAAGGAAGAAACGGTTTGACAAAAATTCTATATGATACTTTCCGTAAATCTGATATAGTTTGACGAAAAAAAAAACGTTGTAGAGAATTACTTACTCTTCGATTTTGTGTGATATGAGAAAATTTTATATCCGAATTATAGACGCTGAAAAGCTAAAGATTTGATTTTATAGAAAATTCCTAGTGACTATTTTGTGTTTTACTATCCTAGCTTCTGTGAATTGCTTGTATTCTATTGATACCAACAGTAGACATTATCATCATTATATATCATATTCCTAAAGTTTTTTAATTTCGTGCTACCTTTATCGAGTGATCCATGGAGGGTAAAGTAAAATAGAAAAAAATTGGGATAAATATTAAAATTCGATGCTTTTGTACAAGTAATTCGATGAGTCCTGTCCGACCATGACAAAAAGAAAACAATTTCAAATTATCGAAAACTTTAAATACAATATTCATTTATTTTATTTAGTACCATCAACTCCTGAAACAACTGGAAAAACAGCAAAAACTCCTACACCTCCACCATCATCATTATCAGATGATAGTTCAATAAAACGACAACATCATTATACAATTGATGATTTTCATTTTATGAAAGTACTTGGCAAAGGATCATTTGGAAAAGTAATTTGAATTTTAAAAAAACAGACTTCAAATAATAATAATAATAATAATAATAATATTTATTATTTAGGTTTTATTAGGTGAACATAAAGCAACTGGTGAAACATTTGCTATAAAAGTACTTAATAAAGATGCAATTATACAAAATGATGATGTTGAATGTACAATGACAGAACGACGAATTTTAGCTTTATCAACACGACATCCATTTTTAACTGGATTATTTTGTAGTTTTCAAACAAAGGTAGATGTCTTTTGTTTTTTAGATTTAATTTTGTTTAATTAAATAAAAATTTCATTTTAAAAGGAACGTTTATTTTTAATTATGGAATATGTTAATGGTGGAGATTTAATGTTTCAAATTCAACGTTCAAGAAAATTTGATGAATCACGTGCACGTTTTTATGCATCAGAAGTTACATTAGCATTAATGTTTTTACATCGACATGGTGTTATTTACCGGTATGAATCACAGACAAAAAAAAAAATAATAATAAAAACGATTTTTTTTTTCTAGTGACCTTAAGCTTGACAATATTTTACTTGATGCTGAAGGTCATTGTAAAATTGCTGAGTATGTAAAAGTTTTTTTTTTTTGTTGTTATTTTGATAGTTTTATATTTTTTTTACACAGATTATTCAATAAGTTTTAATAAGTATAGTATAAGAAAATTAATGCTAATGTATTTTGCTAGAATTTTAATATTGTGATTTTATGGTGAAAGAAATTAATTTGCTCATTCATACTAAACAATATGTCGGACAATAAAAAAAAACAAAATATCATGATCCTTAACATTTCCTCCACATTTGACAAGCTTTAGGATATTTCGTCTATATCTATTTGTTTTGGTTGTATCGGAAAGAAAATTTTCCGACGAAGTAATCGCTTTTGATTCGAGATTATATACATTATGTAGACTTTAATAAGTTATGAATACTGTGAAAAGAGTTCAGGACCTGAGCTTATTGCTATCAAGATAACTATGACTTCGATTTAAAAAAATATCGTAAAAATACTGTACCTCAGCAATAATAGCTAATGAACCGAACTCTTTTCAGGACATGCATAGCTTATTAGAGCCTACATAATACACGTAGTCTCGATTCATCAGGATGGAAATTTCTCTCTTAAGTTAGTTTGTTCAAACTACAATTGTATTACAAGTATCCACCCTCTTCCTATGGAGAACTAAAAATTTCCTTGAGAATTTTTTTCTTAAATACTTATCTCCTTATTCTCGGTGTCCTATCTGTAATGAAAATTCTCGCTTGATCGATTATACCATTTTTCGAGAATAGAAACAGTCGAAAAAAGAGTGAGTTTTATTTTTATTTTTTGTTCTTCGAAAAGTCAAGATATTGAAAGCATCTTAATAAATGCATGTTTGTTTTTTTGAAAGAGCTACCAAAAAATCAGTAGAATAATATTTTTTGAAACAAACAGTGTCTAGTATATGTAAAAAACGGTTTCAATTCGATCGGACATACAATTTTTGGATCATAAAATGTACTCAGTAGATAGATACTACTTCAGGCTATACAATAGTCATAATAAAACAAAGATGTTGAGTGATGAAAGGGGATGTACCCTTAAGAAAATTAGACTGATGCAGATCATTTCCCGTTGAATAGCTCGAGGTTTCAATACATCTGTAGTTATTACACAGACCAATTTTCTCAGAATTACTTTTATAATTAGAATAATAATCAATTATTCATGATTCTGTTGATTCCAAGAATTCTGGCTATTGGAATACAAAAGAAAAGTTACCGTCATGTTATCGAGTAATAGCTAACGAAAAATTCGTGGATTTGGTTCTGTCGTCAGGAAATAACTATTGGAAGAAAATCACAATTTTTTCTTATAAAATTTCATCAAAGATTTTCTTAATCGAGGAATCTAAATTTGTAATCAGTTGCTCAGAACTGTGTACTTGATTTTTTGATGAAGCGTTCTAAAATACCCTTCTGAATAACTGGTAAGTTCTCAGCTCTAATATTGACTATTATAATTATGTAGAACGATCTTCTATATCACTCAAACAACAACAAAGAGTGATTTAAGATGCTCTCAGGGAATCGCCGAAGGAAAAATAGTTGATTTCAAGTGCTTTTATTGATTCCGAGTAATTTTAATGCTACAGCATCAGTATTTTTTCCCACTGTGAAGACTATAATGTTTATTTGATTAGAAATTAATTTGGTTCTTTTGTTCTAGTTTTGGCATGTGCAAAGAAGGTATATTTGATGGAAAATTAACATCTACATTTTGTGGTACACCAGGTATGAATATATACATATATTTTGTATTGTCTTCGAATAATTTGTTATAATTTATTCTATTAGATTATATTGCACCTGAAATACTTCAAGAACTTGATTATTCATTTTCTGTTGATTGGTGGGCATTAGGCGTATTAATGTATGAAATGATGGCTGGACAACCACCATTTGAAGCTGATGATGAAGATAGTTTATTTGAATCTATTCTACGTGATGAAGTACTTTATCCTGTTTGGTTATCAAAAGAAGCTGTACACATTCTTAAATCAGTAAATACATAAAGAAGAATATAAAACAAAAACCTAAGACGACTATAAAGTTTTGATTAGAGAACAAGATATATGTCGGCTTGTAGAGAGAGACTTTCTCTAGAAGCCTACATATGTCTCATAAGTTCTGGGTATCAACGAAAATTAGTTTATTTGTAAACAACGAAAATTTTCTATCCAACTATATCTATATGAGCTTTGAATACTTAGGATGATGTTTTCAATGGCATTATCTCGTTTAATAATAATAACAATGACATAAACAGAAAAAACGTAATAATTAAAATCTCGAAATCGACCAGGTTTTTTTAAGAAGTTTTAATGAAATATAAATTCATTGTGCGTAACATAATACAATTATATGCCAAATTTATGAAAAAAGCGGATTATAAAGAAATTTTAAAAGTGTGTGGGAAAAAAATATTCTACTCCAAGATGATCAAGATTCAAAACATAGAAGAATGCTTGAATTACGAATTATTGACTACAAGAGTTTCACATGAAGATAGAGACATGTGGCCTATTGAAAATATATGAGAAATATTTTTAAAAAAAAGTACGAGAAGAAGAATTGTCAAATTTCAAATAACAACTAAAAAATATATTGAACAAAGAATCGAAAAATAATAACTTATAATGATTATGAAAAAAAATGATTGATAAAATTCCTCGTATGAACTACTATCTAGTTTAAAAAGCAGTGTGCTTCATTAGTTTTTGAATAGTTCTTGATAGGAGCATCATAGATACCTGCTGTTTTCACCATTCAAGAGAGTTTTCAAAAACGACATTCTGAAGTAATTTGTCTTTCGATCTATGCAAGATCGACATTCCTAGCTTGTTTCGTTCGAGAGTTATAAGATTTTTCCTGAGAGCCACGATTTCAGCCAATTGACCTGTAATCATCTGGAAGAGTAGCTAAGCAGAGGTAATTCATCGTGCTGAGTCGAATGGTGATATTTGGAATCGATCTGACTTTACTACCTCAATATTTTGGAAATACTGGTTACTTCATTACATGGAGTCTGATTGTGGGATTTCATAAATATTAAGATAACTGTGCCAGATTATTTAGAATCTAAAACAAATATCACCATTCGATTCAGCACAGTGAATTACATCTGCCTAGTTGCTTTTCTGTGTGATGACAGGTCAAGTGATTGAAATTAGAGATCTTAGGAAACATCTTTGAATTCTCGAATGGAACAAGGTAGGAGTGTCAACCATGTGTAGATCGAAAGAGAAATTACTTCAGAATATCATTTTCAAAAATGTTCACTAAGAGCTCACCTGATTGATCAATCAAATTTTGATATAGCTTGATGGCCCCTGCTTCATATTTCGAAATAGATAATAATTTTCGTTGAAGCTCAGAACTTATGAAACGCATTTCAGTACTTTCTGTAGTCAAAAATTACCGAAAAACTTGCAATCACCCTTATCAAATGTTTGTTTATTAAATTTAGTTTATGACAAAAAATCCTGCTAAGCGTCTTGGTTGTGTAGCTGCACAAGGTGGTGAAGATGCTATAAAACGTCATGCATTTTTTGCTGGTAAACTTGATTGGGAAGCGTTAGAACGTCGACAAGTTAAACCACCATTTAAACCAAAAGTGGTATGTAGTTTTTTTTATTTCAATATGATTTAATTTTGGTTTTTATTTCATCAATTTTTTGTATTAAATAGGTTAATCCACGAGATACAAGTAATTTCGATAAAGATTTTACAAATATGCCTGTAGTATTTACACCTATTGAAGCTGTTATTGTTAAAGCTATTAATCAAGATGAATTTAAAGATTTTTCATATCAAAATGCTGATTGGCGTTGTTTAGAACGTGGTGAAGTACCTAAAGATGATGCTAATGATGGTCGACGTGCATTGCGTGATGATTTATCTGTTAATTTAAAACAACCATTACCAATGACACCTATACTATCTCATCAATCAGCAATAAATGATACTGTATCATCAACAATAACAGTTGTTAAAACTGATCATATGCCAATACCACATATTGACGCTCGAAGAAATCCAACACCATCACCATTTCAATCATTACATACATCATCATCACCAGTACCATTTGCAACAACATCATCATCATCAATAACACCATTACCAACATCAACAACAACAGCACCATTACAATATTCAATGATGATACCAGCAACAGCACCTGCGATAACATCAAATTCAACAATAAATGCTCAACAAAAATCACCATCAACAAATCGTTCGAATAAAATAATAATAGATCAAACCGATATGTAAACATTTTAAAAGGCATAATTTTCATACTCTCTATGAACTCTAGTCATTTGATTGTTGTTTTTGTCTGTGTGCGTACATTTCTTTCTTTCTTTCTTTTTTTTCTTTTGTTTCGAGTTAATTTTATTCAATTAAAGTATTTTTTTTTCTCTCTCTCTCTCTCTCTCTTTCTATCATCTTCTTCTAGTCATTCATCATCATCGTCATGCTACTACTGCTGCCGCCTCTTTCTTTTGTGCAATTTTGGCTTTTTACGCATAATTTTCACTAGACGTAGTACACCATATACAGTCACTTTTTCTTTTCGTTTTGTGTATATACCCATAATATGTACACATGTGTACTCTTGGTGGTTGTCTGTTTATTTATTGTCGTCAAACTTTTATATTTTATAAATCTTTTCTTCTTTTTTTTTCTCTCTCATTCTTCTTCGAAAAATCAATGAATAAATATATTTATCTTTGGAAAAATATATATATATATATATATGTATGTATGTGTTTTTTTGTTGAGAATAAGACAGAATAGAAATAAAGAATTCATGGAATTATAGAGAGAAATAGAAAACATTATAATTACAGATGCAACAAAGTCGATTGGATAAATTTTTTACAATTAAAAAATCAGCAACAACTAGTAAATTAGTCGATAATAATGGTGATGGTTCAAATGATTCAACACCATCTAATCAACAAACAAATAAACGATTATCAACAACTGAATATGAGAATAACAAGAAACTAAAACGAACAAAATCAGATTCACCTACAATAAACAATGAGAATAGTTCACAAATTAATGAAAATTTCGAAACAAATTTTTCATTAAATCAATTTTATTTGGATAAATTTTTGTTAATTCTTTCATCATTAGTCAAATATTATAAATATTTATTTGATGAAAATGAATTAATATTATTTGATAAATTTCAAACATTATCTGGTTAGTGTTTGTTTTTTTTTTCTTTTTAATCTCTACAATAAATATTTTTTACAGCTTCATCACAAATTATTTTTATTCGTTTATTAATGCGTCGTTGTAAATGGCTTCGACGATCAACAATAAACTATGAAATATCAAATGTAACAAATGATGAAGATAGTTTAACACCACTTGTAGAAATAGGTTTATTACAAGATAGTAAGAAATTTTAGATTTATTTGAAAATAAAATTTAATTAAAAAACAAATTTTCTTTTTGAAGTTTCATCATTAGATGATCTTGATGCTGGTCTACGTTTATTAACTAGTGATGAAATGCGTGATTTTTCTAAACGTTTTCATTGTCAATCAAAAACAAATAAATCTAAAAAAACATCAATTGAAAATTTAAAAAATTTAACAAATCAATATAAATCAATGTTTGGTTCAACAACAACAACAACAAATCGTAATCATCTTTTATTTAAAGAGTTTTGTATATTCAATAGAAATTTTAATTAAAAATAATTTTTTTTTTTTTGTTTAATATTTAGATTAAAACGAATAATAGTTAATTGTTATAAAATATCTGAAGATATTCGTGGATTATTTTTTCGAATGATGTTAGCTTATCATCCAGTTGCTCTTTTATCTATGGATAACCTTGATCAAAATGCTTTTACTCTTTTGTAAAATTTTTTTTTTTTTTTTTTTAATAATTTATTAAATGAATTTTGTTTTAATGAAAATTTATTTAGATATAAAACATTTCAAATTACTCGTGGAGATCTTCGACTTCCATGGCGTGAAGATCAAATTAGTCATGAATATTTACCATTTAAAACACCTGAACAACTTAAACTGTAAGATACTTAACAAGAATTTTACAAATAATAAACATTGAAATGAAGTTAGATGTCTTTTAAACGTATAGTAGAAATTCTCCTCATAATAATAGATTAGATGACGCCTTGTAAAATATAACTTTTAGGGAAAAATGACAATTAGGCGACGTCGATTGGTCGCATGTTTGACAGAAGTATGGCTCCTATTTCACTTTCTACAAACTTCAATTTGCAGACATATGATTCAGTCATTTGCAGCACTGCGCAAGGATGAGGATGATATATGAACAATGAAGATTTATCCTTTGGAATGGGTTCGTAGATGATCTTGCTGATAAACGGTAATTGAAAATTGACATTCTTTTTTAATTTACCGAAATGTTAGGAAAAGACGAAAATTATATTCATTGTCGAATAACAAAAATTACAACAGACAGAATAGAGAAGTGCGGATTCACACTTTTGTGAACCCGAACCCGAATTTTTTTTCCCATCAATACCTAACGTCTTCGATGTACATCAACAAGTGAAGGATTAAGGTTTTAGCTAGTAATCGGCTATCCACCCAAAACGTCAACGTACGATTATTTCTTGTCGTTTTCTTTTCAATTACTCGATGCAGAATAAGTTGGAAGCTTTCGCTTACAAAGGAACCTCTTCAGCTGCCCCTTACGATTTCAATTATGTTTTTTTGCCTATAAATACTACATAGTATCCTAATAAAAATCCTAACAGAATTTGGGTTCCTATTGAGATTTGACTAATCTATTGAATTTTTCTCTAGAAGCTGCAAGTTTTCTGCAAACTTGTATTTTCGAATTTCGATCTGAACTTTTGTGTATATAGGGAACTCAATTAGGCTAACTTCCATAAAAAAAATTCAGAAGCTTTGAACACAATCTTTTCAAGATTTAGGACTTTTAGGACACAGAGCTTTTTCAATGGATAGTATATACAATATGTATTTTTTGAAAGCTTCATATCTCGAACAGACTTTGTTCAAAACTTCTAAATTTGTTAATGGAAGCTAGTGTAGTTGAGTTTTCTATATGTGTAAAGTTTCAGACTAAAATTCAAAAATACGAGTTTTCCAAAGATCTGAGGCTTCTAGATAACAGAAATATTAAAAATTCAATAGCTTAGTCAAATCTCAATAGAAATCCAATCCTTTTAAAGTTCATCTGGTGTTTCTTGTCCTTTAATAGATTGTTGATTATTTTCTGAATCTTTCTAATTTATTTCTCCATAATGCTAAGGAAATTCTTTTACAGATCATATTTTGCCAGTACTACGACTAATTTGTTGTAAACCCAACTTTTATCTGAAATCATAATGATCAAATATGAGACATTCTCATCTTATGATAGAACATCTTTGAATGTCATCAATACGTATAAGATCAAGTGAGGACTAGCAAGGATTCATCTTCATGAATCAAGATTTAAAAAGTCCGTATGACGGATAGATGTAAGTACGAGTCGTATTCTAATATGCCGAATATTTTGTTTTAAAATGTCAGAGACATAAAAGATTTTAGAGAAAGAAAATGTAGCTGAAAGTAAATAAAAGAAATTTATACTAATTCATTTTTAGTTGCATTTTCTTTCTCTATCTTTATAATAGAGTATTTAATACCAAAACTGATCTCTTGAATTTCAAATATTTAGTCTCCAATCTTCGAAATAATACGAAAAAAAATTACTGTTCCTGATAAAATGGGTATTACAAATCTTGATTCCCAAAAACAAAAACATCATAGAAATACATCTTTCTAGTGTTTTCTTTGTTCTAAAGTGGTTTATTAATAGCCGTAATATGCCTATGCAGATTTTTCTGTCGTCAATTTTAGTTACTCATTCTTTATTAATATTCACAAGATCTGTGTGCTACTCTAAACCTACTTATTATCTCATCTTTATTGTGGTATATTATAAACGTTGATTTAGTATATTAGAATTCGCATATTACTATGATTTGTCTTCAAGAACTGATATGCACAATTAGATAAAATCTGTTAGACATATGTTATCTCGTTAGAACAATTAAAGACGTATAATAGATTAGAAAGAGCTATCTAAAAATAGACATGCGGTTTTCATAGGTTTTATGTTTTCTATAAAAATAACAGACATACCAAAATTAATGGTAGTAAGCATTATAATACTTTATAGAAGGCTTAAGAAAATTCTCTCTATCCATACATGCTAATACGTTAAATAGTACTTTATAATTCTATAATGTTTTACTATTCTTCAGTTAATATGATAATATAAGAATTTCGATAAAAACTGTTCATCTCTAATTTAGATGGATGAAAAAAACTTGTGCTTCTATAGTAAAATTCATACTGCACTATATATATTCAAACGAGAGTTATTCATGATGAACTATATTTTATTTTCGATGGACAAGCTTCATGTTTCAGAACACAGTTGAAAGGTAATAGACTTTGTTTTATGAATGAAGATCTACGAGATCTGTAAATCAAACTATATCTTTCATGATCACCTGCTAAGTCAACTATTGTGACATATAACGAGTGATAATCTTCTTACATTTACAATAATCGGAGACTATTTGTTGGATGATTGCATCATGACTCAAATCAGTTTGCTCTTGCAATGGATCACTTGTAATATAAGACTCATCATCATTAATACGGAAATAGATCTGTTTCATATGTTCAAATGTCATTAGGCTACAGATCTATCGGATTATGTTTCGTCTTTAACCTGTTTGTGACCTTTACTAAGTCATTCATATCATTTTTCAATTGTTCTTAGAGGTGAAACCCGATCGCCGAAAACAAAATATAGTGTAGTATGGACTTAAGTGTAGAAGTGAATATTTTACTTATCCATCTACATCAGAGATGTACAATTTTGTTTGAAATTCAAATAGTGCTATATCAACTGAAATATTAAAGAGCACTATTCGGATTAAAGAAATTTCCTCAAGCCTTCTAGAAAGTATAGAATTTATTTAGTAGTAAAAACCAAATATTTCTTTTAAATTTTTTAACAAATATATTTTTTTATTTTCAATTTAGTTATCAAGAAGCAATCGATCTTGAAACAGAATATAATCAATTAGAAGAATCTAAAAATACCGATGAATTAATTAAATTCTATGAAACATACAATGAACAATGGCGTGCAATGATTGATTCATCTACGGAAAAGTATATTCTTTATAATATTCCGAAATACAAAAAACAATTTTTTTTCTTTTATTTGAGAACATAATGTTTGGTCAGGAAAATAAATAAAATGGAAAGTTTTTTTTATATATAAGTATCAGTAAAAAATTCAAATTTGATCATCAGAAGAAATGAATGTTATTTGTATAAAGATTCATTTAGTACATGAAAAATAAATTTAAATAAATAAAAACAACCACAGAATAAATAGGAAATCCAAAGGAATGAATGGAAAAAAGGAAATTAAAATTCAATTATTGTACTAGCAAAGCAGCTTTAGTCATTGTTGATCTACCTCTTGTTCTTTTCTCATTGATCGGCACTGTTTTTCCTGCTGATGATGATTTGCAATATTCACCCACATCATCCATCTATGGGACATAGCAGAAGGAAAGATAAAGAGTGAATTACACTATAACACATTTCGAATTTTTTATAGTTTTTCTTTAATTGAATTTACTGATTTTTAACTTAATTCTTTTAATAACTGACCATTTAAATCATTTACTGATCCTTCATTTATTCCGCTGATTACTTAAATGATAGTCTTTTTTTAATTTTTTTAATTTTAGTGAACAATTACCTGGTTATTTTCGTCGTTTTTCACCTGATTATATTCGTGCTCGTATTCTATCTTATTTAACTGAAGTATTACAACGAGCTCGACGTTATGATGAATCAATTGAATTAATTCAATATTTATTGAGTAGATTTATTTATTTTTCTTCTTATTTATTTCAATACATTAATTTATTTCATTAGTTTAGATCGTGCAATATATAATCGAAATCGTCGAGGTAAATTATGGAATCGTTTAGCACTGATACAAGAAAATTATATTAAAATAAATGGTCATCAACAATGTTTAAATACAATATATGAAGCATTACAAGATCCATATGTTAAATTAGGTGATCGTCTTGCATTATGTGAACGAGCAAGAAAATTATATTCACGACCAAAATCAAAAGGAATACTTCTAGCAGAATGGATAACAAATGAAGAAGAAAATTTAATATGGACTGTACCAATGCCAAAAGAAGTTAGATTTGATAATGAAATACAAAACAATAAAATAAAATTTTTTGTTTTATTTCAATAAATTAGATTGAAGTTACTGGATGTTTATTAGCAAATGATGCTCGAATGGGTAAAGTAACATATACAATACAAGATCCAATTGATGGTTCAATTCAATTTTGTACTGTTGAACAATTAGCTATTAATCATTATCGAACAAAAGAAGATTATACTTATGGTTAAATTTACCCTTTTTTATTTTTGCTTTTTAATATAAATCTTATTGAAATATAATATTTAAGGTATTCATTCGGAAGGAGCTGTTATTCAAACATTAATTGGTCTTTTATTTCTTGATTTAATTTATACATTACCAACACCTGATCTACTTATTGATATATTTCAAACAGAACCCCTCGATTTTCGTACAGATGCTTTTTATAAATCTCGTCAAAATCAAATTGATGAACGAATTAGTCAGCTGAATTCTGAAGAAGTAAGAAAAATAAAAACAAAACAAAACCTCGGATCGTTTCAGCATACATATAGTTGTTATGAAATGTAAAGCTATAATAATATATGACAAGTATAGTGTTTTTTATCCAGATTTTTTCGCTTCCGGAATGGCGAATACCTATTTTTGGAAGCACAATAACCACAAACTTTGGAAAAGCTTACCAGACTTTCAGAAGGGCGCCGCCCCCGTTGTCTTCCACACTGGATAAAAATATGTTTTTGACCATAATAATGAAATGAAACATACGCTTAGGAAATTTGTAGAATCAAAATCACCAACAAAAAGAAAAGCGATTATATACCATTACAAAACAGAAATAAAAACAATTCAATAAAATTTTAATAATTTGAGAAAGACGATGTATAGAGTCAAATTCTTATACATTTCTACTAGTCTATTCGGAGTTGATTTATGTGCAAAATATTTACTTGATTCACGCGTCACATCGAGAGATCTTTTCTTATATAAGTAATTCAAATTATCTTTAGAATATACAAGATATTGCTGAAAAAAATTGGGATATGTACCATCTAACAATGAGTTCAATTGTAAATTGGGAATTATTTCCAACAAAATCAACATTATTAGTAAGAAATTAAATAATATTAATTTTCAATTTCTAATAATAACTTTGTATAGGGTGCTTTAAAATGTTTAACATCAGAACAAATAAAATCTATATCAACTTATACATTTGTACATAATCAAGCTGTATGGAAAGGTTTTCCAGATTTATTCGTATGGAATCCATTATTAAAAAAATGCAAAGTAAATCGAACAAACAAAGTTTTATTTAGATTTTTATTTTTATTTTTTGTTTTTGATTAGTTTGTTGAAGTCAAAAGTCATAATGATCGACTTTCATATCATCAAATAGTCTGGCTTAATAAATTAGTTGAATTTAAAATTGATTGTGAAGTATGTAAAGTTAGTGGTAAGTTTATTTTCATATAAAAAATATTCTCAATATGGAAAACATTTTTATTTTTTATTTTTTAATTTAAGCAATAGGTTCAAAGAAATCATTACAACGGACATCATCGATAATTGAATTAGATTAAATTTTCTTTTTTCTTTTTCTTCTTATTAAAATAAATAAAATTTCATTGTTAAATGTTTCAAAAAAAACTTCTATTCGGAAAAATATTTTTATGATTGTAGAAAAAAAAAAGAAAATGTTTGCATGTGATGATGAAGATTATGATTATAATAATAAAAGTCATAATGAAGATCAACCACAAGGTTATCAAGCATTATTAGATCCAGATGATGAAGAGTAAAAAGCAATTATTTTTAGTTTGTATTCAACATAAAAAAAAAGTTCTTTTCATATGTTTCAGAACTTTCACAGTGGAAGAAGAGGAAGAAGAAGAAGAAGAAGATGAGGTTGCTGATTATGAAGAAGAAATAGAACCTACTGCAGAAGTGTCTATTGATGATGGTCAAATAAAACCATTCTCTTGTACATTATGTTCTGTATCCTTCAGTAAATTCGAAGCATATCGTGAACATTATGTGTCTACAGAACATCGATATAAACGACGAGATGAAAAGAAACGTCTTGGAGTTTGTTATCGATTCTTGATATGTATAAAAATAATATTTTCTATTTGATTTTAAGGATGAATGTGTCATTGAAACGTTACCAGTTGAAATATTTGTTAATTTATTACTTTATAATAAAGTAAGAAATATATAATTAATATTAGAACAACAAAAACAAAAAATTCATTGAAAATTCTTTAGATACCATTTGAAAGTATTCAAATTGATATTCAACCTATTGATTTTAGTGTAAGTGGTACATTAGAATATAATAATATTAAATATGAACATCAACATGCATCATCACTTAATGAATTATATCAATTACTTATTAATAAATTTAATCAAGATTATCAAAAACATCAATTAAAAATGCCACCACAAAGTTTTTTTGTTGCACGAGGTAGAGAAAAAAAAGATTATAGAATAAAAATGATTGTATATGTGTTGAAAATTTTTAGATACTAGTCGAAAAGATATAGATAATATATGGACCGTATCACGTTATTGTGATGATACAGGAAAATCTGATGAACAAATTATTAAAGTAAGATGAAAAAAATAATTTTATACATATTTTTCCGTTTAGTCAATGAAATCGCGCATTTTATGATTTTTGATTTCGCCAATATAGAACATAGTTCGATCTATGTACAATCTTGAACAATAGTAACTACCCCCATAAAATGCTAGTATTCTTTATGATAACGAGATGATGTATCAAGTGCATGTGTGCAAAAATAAACCCCGATCGCAAGTGCCTACCCGTCCGGTCCAAAATTTTCCGACTCAGACCCGAATGGGCTCTACCATCGATTTATATGTACTAGAGTTTCTCTTGTAAAATATCTATTCAACAGAAATATGAAATCAAAAGATTTTTGGTGTGTTATTTTGCTACTCCACAAGCTGCAACTGTGTTTTTCTAGGTCTAATGGTAGTCTCATATATGCCTAGTTTATTGTCACCAAAGGTCGCTTGTTTCTAGAAAAAATTTCCCGGTATGCAGATTCAAAGAAGTTGTCTGATTTGATGACTTCGGCGTTCACTAGATTTAGTATGACTGGAGTTCTTTACATGCGAATACATAAGACAATTTTTTTGAGATGTCCACTAACGATCAGATTCAGTTAACAATCAGAATAGGAAAAAATCTCTATGTAATGTCTTTTTTCCAATTATTTGATAACAGTGAACTTGTGCATTACAGTTCTGTAAGATTATTTTGAACGACGGATGTAAATATAATTATTCGAAACTAAACTTTAAGAATCGTCTATTATAATTATAAAAATCATATTCAATGTCGACATTTGTTTTAGGAAGTCTTAGATTATTGTGTATACAATAATGTTGAACCAGAACGTGAACGTTTAATAGCACATTCAATTCAAACATGGCGTATGTTTCATCGTCAAGAAACTAAACCAGGTTTTTGGTTAGTAATCAAAAATGAATTTCTTGTTTGTTAAAAACATTTTGATTTTCAGGTGTGATATTTGTAAACAATGTTTTCGTAAACGAAAAGCAATTATTTGCGTAAGTAAATTAATCTTTTCGTTTTTAATAAAGTTTTGATTTTTATTTTAAAAAAAAGCATTTTGAAACAAGTGAAAAACATGATAATAATTTAAAACGTCTTCCACCATATCGACGAGCTGTTCAAAATGTAAATCTCAGAAGAATTTTATTTCAATTTTATAGTTTCTTTTTATTTCTTAGAGTTTATTTACTAGTCGTTTATTAAACGAATTTGTTCCAATTGATAAATTGAATTATTATCGAACACGAGCTAATGCTTATCGAATTCCACCATCAAATAAAACTATTAAAAATGCATATTATTGCACATTTTGTAAAAGATCATTTGAATCAGCATATACACTTGAAAAAGTACTGAATTAAATTTAAAAAAAAAACAAGATTTTACATTCTTATTTAGCATCTTGGTTGGAAAGGTCATCGAGATAT